AAAAAAACCCTACAAATTCCTGAAATTGATTGATAGAAATATTCATGTATTCAAGAATAAACAAACAAGGACTTAAGAAGAAACAAAATGCAAAATGACTGGAAAGCAGGTGGTAAGATCGTCATTATTTACAGATAAAAATTTTTCTATCAAGAAAATTCAGGCAAATGGACATTAACTTTCCTAATAAAAACATAAATATGGGAAGTCATTTCTAGTACACTCTGTATTACAATTTGATAGGAGGTGCCACAACATATACCACAGATTATGTGGCTTCAGAAAATATTAAATTTTCAATAGTTATAGAAGAAAAAGTACAAGATCAAGATATCAGCAGGGAAGATTCTTCTGAGGTATCTCTCCCAGGTTGGAAGATATATGCCCTATCCTGTATCCAGTCTGGTAGATAGATGCCCTATCCTGTATCCAGTCTGGTAGATAGATGCCCTATCCTGTAACTAGGCTGGTAGATAGATGGCCTATTCTGTAACCAGTCTTGCAAACAGATATCCTATCCTGTTACCAGACTTGTAGGCTGGTAGATAGATACCCTATCTTGTATCTAGGCTGGTAGATAGATAGATGCTCTATCCTGTGTCCAGGCTTGTAGATAGATGCCCTATCCTGTAACTAGGCTGGTAGATGGATGCCCTATCCTGGATCCAGGCTTGCAGGCTGGTAGATAGATACCCTATTTTGTATCCAGGCTGGTAGATAGATGCCCTATCCTATATCCAGGCTTGTAGATAGATGCCCTATCCTGTTACCAGGCTTGTAGGTTGGTAGATGGATAACCTATCTTGTGAACAGGTTGGTAGATAGATGCTCTATCCGTATCCAGGCTAGTAGATAAATGTCCTAGCCTGTATCCAGGCTAGTAGATAGATGCCCTATCCTGTATCCAGGCTAGTAGATAGATGTCCTATCTTGTATCCAGGCTGGTAGATAGATGCCTTATCCTGTAACCAGGCTTGTAAATAGATACCCTATCCTGTATCCAGGCTGGTAGACTTGTTTTCTATCTGCATCTACCCGATATGTAAAAGTGGGTTCAAATCTCTTCTTATAAGGGCTTCAGTCAGACTGGATTAGACTCCATCCTCATGTCCTCATTTAAATTTAATCACCTTGTAAAAAGCCATACTTCCAATTAGTCACATTCTGGGCTACTCAGAGTTCTGATTTCAAAATATCAATTTGAAAGACTGTCACAACTCATGACAAAACATCCTCAAAAAAAAACATATAAACTTCAAGATGAAAGCAGGGCATGATGTCACACAAATGGAATCTCAGCAATTGAGAAGTAGAAACAGGAGGTCCTGAAATTGAAGGCCAGCCTAGGCTACATAAGACTCTGTCTCTAAAATAAATAAATACTTGAATAAGTTGAGATATATACTATGTTCTTGGTGGAAGAATTTTACTGTTATAAAATTGCAACAAAAACCTGGCTGGCATCATGGCATGTAGCTGTAATCTCAGCACCAGAGAGGTAGAGGCAAGAGGATCAGGAGTTCAAGGTCACTCCCAGATACACAGCAATTTTGAGGACACCCTGAGCTACAAGAGATTTATCTTAAAAAAATAAACTATGGGGTTGGAGATTTAGCTCAGTGGTAGACCGCTTGCCTAGCAAGCACAAGGCCCTGGGTTCAGTCCTCAGCTCTGAAAAATAAAATAAAATAAAATAAAATAAAATAAAATAAAATAAAATAAACTATAATAATAAAGGTTCAAATAAATATCAATTTATTCTAAGCTACTGCAGCCAAATTCCATGGGATATAGTTCGGTCCTCTTTCCCTCCCCCTTTCATTTTGTTACATTATATTTAATTGTATTTTATTAGAATTAAAGTATGGATTTATTTTAGGCTATCCTTTCTCAGCCCATGTACCTTAAGGCTAAGCTCAACCAAACTAGGCAAATGCTCTACCCCTGAGCTATTCCTCCAGCCCACTCCCCACCCCCAAGAAGACAGTTTCTCTTCTGTCCTTAAAGATCCAGCTCCATGGGCTGTGGTGGAAGGAGGGGGTGGGGAAACAGCAACAGGTCTAACCCGTGTAGGGTTTCCATTCTTTCAGACTTCGTCATGCGGATGCACAGACGTCGTGCTGGGAATGGCACAGCTCCGGCAGAAATCTGGCTTCACACCGATCTTGGGAAGCATGTGGAAGACACTTGCTTCTGAAATGTCTCGGACAGCTGCGGCCATGGCAGTCTCAAATAGCCAGCTTCTTAACGGTCTTTACTCTGGGCCCATACCAGGAGCAGTTCATGAAGTGAAGAGACTGCTTGCAGTCTTTTCTGGAACAGCCACTGTTCTCTTTTTATCATCTTGGAAGCCGGGGCCTGGGAGACCTGTGCATCCATCTGTGCCGACAATGAACTGTCCCTTCCGTTCCGTCTGGTCCCACTTCCCCGGTACTCAAAATAGGCATGACACACCATCCAGATCAACCTTTAGAGATAGGATTTTTCCATCTTCCTTAAAGTTTATAAAGACTGTATTTCATAACTGTATCAAGTGAGCTGGGTCAGGGTAAGTACTGTGGTTAGTTAATTCATCATTGATAAAATAAGGATGAAAACAGTACTTACCTTACTATTATCAAAATTAGATTTAGTGATTTAAAAACTCAGACACTTTAATCCTAGCACTCTGCAGGCAGAGGCAGGTGGATCTCTATGAGTTTCAGGATAGTCAGAGCTACATAGGGGCAGTGGTGGCACACCCATTTAATCCCAGCACTTGGGAGGCAGAGCCAGGCAGATCTCTGTGAGTTCTCTCTACAGAGTGAGATCCAAATCATGGCACCAATGAAAGGATGATAATCGGAGCTGGCTGTGGTACTGGTTACTGTGTGGAAAGATCACGGTCATGACAGAACCCAGTGTTAGTTTTTAGAGCTTTATTAGGAGGGAAAGTGGGGAGGAGAAAGAGGAGAGCCAAGCCTGGAGAGAGAGAAAGATGGTGGTGGTGGGGGGGGGGAGCAGAGCAGGGAACAGAGAGAGTGTGGGGTCTGCATCCGGCTTTTGAAGACACGTACATAGTCTCCAGTGCCCCCTGACGACATAAGACGCAAGACCCTGAGCTGCACATGTACATAAGTGAGGGCAGGATCCTAACAGAGACCCCATCTAAAGAAGATGGGGGAGGGCAGGAGACTCTCCATTATTTCACCTTTTACCTAGTTCTTAAAGTTGCTCTTTCCTGTGACTTAGGCACTGTACTTCTTTTTCAAATTATGATACTGAGAAACATGTGCTGTTTTATCAATAATAACCTACATGTTCATCAGTAAGAAAAACTCAATAATAGATGTTAATGGCATGCCAGAATATTATAGAGACAAAAGTAAATTTGTAGATAAAAATACATTTGATATCAAAGAATGATCAGGGATGGAAAGATGGCTCAATAGTTAAGAATACTTGATGCTCTTGCAGAGGACATGAGTTCCAAGGTTACTAACATCCATGTTGAATGGCTTACAACTGCCTGTGACTCCAGTTCCCGAGGATCTGATACCTTCCCTGGCCTCCTCCAGCACCCAGACCGACATGCATATATGAAGATACAAATCCATATAAATAATAAAATTAAAAGAGACTGATCATGGCTGCTAAATTAAGTTGAAAAAGTATGCTATGTTCCCTCCCATATCCATTTTGAAATTGTCAGCAGAAAACAGAAGAAGCCTCTTAGGAAATGAGGCATCACGCTGGGGTGGTGGCACAAGTCTGTGATCCCAGCTACTCAGGAACAGCAGCAGTAAGGTGGAAACAAGTTACCAGGAAGGGCAATATAACTGGATGTGTCTCAATCTAGCATTTCAAAAAGGGCAGGGCGATGTAACTTAGTGTCAAAGTACTTGCCTAGTGTGTGAGGACCTGGACTTGTTTCCAAACACTGGGGGGCAGGGATGAGGCAGTGTACTTTCTTGTGATAAATGTGCACCTTGATTTAAGACAGAGTTTCACTGTAGCACAGTTTCTGATCCTCTTGCTTCAGTTTTCCAGAGTGCCAAGATTACAACCATGTAATGTGCAGTGTGCACAGCTCTCAATGTAAGTTTTGTATGAAAGCAAAATAAAAATAAAAGAATTATGGGAACTCCCAATACATTTAAGTGGTTTTTTTTTCTCCTGCAAAATTCTCATTTATCCAAGGATAGTCCTTCATTGTTGATGTTTAGAGCAACTTTGTTTTTGAGACACTGTGTAGCCTTGGCTGTCCTGGAACTCACTATATAAACCAGGCTGGCTTCAAATTTACAGAGATCCCCTTGCCTCTGCCTCCTTGTGAGCAGGGGTTAAAGGTATGTTCTACAAAGAAGGCCAGAGTAACTTTTTTTTTAAGTGAATGAAATACTGGAGGATTTAGGATTAAGGAGTTAAGTATTAGGGTTTTCTTCAGGACACCTATTCCATTATGCAAACTAAATTCAAACGCTAGCGTGTGTGTACATATATATATTTATATATATAATATACTATTATACTAGTTAGTTTGAAATTTTATATATATATACACACTAGCGCTTTATGTAATATATATTTGCATATATATTACATATTTTTATAAATTTTTTTGGAGAAACAGACATGACCAAATATTTTTGTTATCTTCACAGTCAGTCAAGAGATTTATTACCTGGGAAAGCCAATGGAATGGCAAAAATCTGTCAATTTGAACACTAGTGAGGGCAAAGATCCTTTTCAACAGATCTCGAGATTCACAAGACATCATCTCCACATCGAAGACCGACATTTTTGAGCATTACTTCCATGGCCAAGAGAAAAGTTATGGGGTTGTAAATAAAATCGAGCACGTTGAAAAAAAAAATTCCTAGTCCATGAATTCCTGCATACTGAGACTCAAGAGTTGGGGATTTGTTCGTAAAAGGTAACTCTGTGTAAGGTAAAGGGAAGTGGCCTGAAGAAATAATAAAACGAGCATTTCAACGTAGGGTGCATTTTAACCTAAATACCTGTTTTTGCCTAGAAAACAGCCTGTTGTTTTCGCGTCTTCCAGGCTTCCTTGGCTATCAGGAAGCTAAGGCCCCAGCCGCCACCTGGCGACGCCCGCCGATGACTGGCACCGAGTCCCAGCTGCGGCAATTAGGCAGGCGGAGGTGTCGCCTTTAAGAAGCTGACTCACGTGGATGCTGTGTTGTGTGCGCTCAGCTGGGAAGGGGGGGTGTGCCCTCAGCCTCACCTCATTGGCCACCTTGCCCGAGGAGGCAGAGCTAGCCTCCTTGATTGGCTGTAAGAATGCAAAGCGTCGAATTAGGGGCGGGGCGAGCAGCGAGGAGCCCGCCCATCCTCTGCGGTTTCGGGGCGGGGTGGGCGGCCGAGTGTAGGGGAGCCGGAGTGGGGGAGGGTGAGCCAGGGAAGGGGCGGGGCGCGGCGGAAGGGGCAGAGTGCCAGGGAAAAGGGGCGGAGCCTAGGCATGAAGGGTGCTGCGGGCCAACCGGGAGAGCCGCCTGGAGGGAGGGCGGGGCCACGCCGGGTGATTGACGCCGAGGCCCGACAGGGGAGAGGCGGGGCCAAGGCCTGACTAAACCTGAAGACTTTGGAGGCCGAGGGGCTTCGACCCAGCTGAGGAGCCAAAGAGCTGCTGGCAGCGCCGATCTCCCCAGCGCGCAGGTGAGTACGGCGGCCGGCGCCGGGCTCGGAGCCGGCGGGGACTCGGGAGCCCTCGGGCCGGCCGCTTCGAAGCCCTCGGGGAGCGGCCCGGGGCGGGGGCCCCAGGCAGGAAGTGCCTCTTTCCCCCCCCCCCCGCCTCGGCACTCGTCCGGGGTCCCGGCTCGGCCCACCAGGGCCCCAGAGGACCGTAGTTCCGCGGGCCGGGCCGTCGCTCTTTGTGAGGCTGCGGCGGGCCGCCGCCGTCGGCCCGCCCCCGCCGCGCAGCCGAGCGCCCCGCGAGCCGCCCGCAACAGCCGCGACCCCCTTCGGGTCCCCCCCCCCCGCCCCAACTACCCGCCTCCCCGCCACCCTCGGTGACCGACGCCGCGGCCGTCCGCCGGTCCACGGACAGCTCGCCCCGGGTTGACACCCCTCCCCACTTTCCTACGCCCGCCCCGCCCCGCCCCCCCCCCACGGCTGCCGTCCCCGCCGCCGCCGCCGCAGCGTCGGGGGCGCGCCCGGGCACCGCTCCGGGTCGGCCCGCGGGCCCGCGCGCCAGGGCCGCGCTCGCACCCAGCCGGCGGCTGCGGAGGCCGGACTCACACGCCCCGGTGCCTGGGCGGTGGGCCGTGCCCGCCTAGGTGCCAGCCTCCCTGCCGTACTGCCCCCCGGTCTCTTCGGACCCTGGGCTTCTTGGGGGGCGGGGGGGGGCGCTGCTGGGGAGCCCGCGCCCGCCCAGCTGTTCCGCCTGTGTTTGTTGTGCCGAGGAGGCCCCGCCGCCGCCGCCGCCGCCGCGCTCTCCGCCTTGCGCCGGGCGATTGGCTGGCGGCCGTCACGTGGGCGCGATCAGCTGGGCCGGCTGCGGGCAGTCGGCCTGGCGGGGACCCCCCAAAGGCTAGCTGGGGAGCCCACCTGGCGGCTCCTCCCTGCTGGCGGAGGTAGGCGTCCTCCCTGCACACCCTGTTTTATTCCACGCCGCTGTCCAGGTAGGTAGGATGACCCGAGTAGTGCCAGCCTGGCCGTGAGAAGCCGCCGTAGTACAAAGGTCTGTTTAATCCTGACACCGACTAATCTCCCTTTGGAGTGGCTGGTAAATAAGGGGAGGTGTACAGCTCATTTATTTTTAAACTTTTTTTTTTTTTCTGTTTGCAGAGCCCCGTTGGAAATCTGAGGATTTTTTTTTTTTTATTTCAGGTGTCCTTTTGACAGATGGAAAAATCTGAAAGTAAGCCCAGGCTTACCTTGGTTTGGGAAATAAGTGAACTTGCTGGTGAAGTAACAGGCATAAGAGGAGACAGTTTTGCAAGCTGCAGAGACAGGGTTGCAGCTGCATTCCAGCATAGAGAAAGACAAAGTTCTTCAGTGTTTCTAGGGTGCATATTTGTGCCAGATGTGAAGGGCCTTGATGGGTTCTTTTACTAAGAATTAATCGCATGTTATAGTGTATTAGGTAAGAAGGAGATGCCAGAAAACGTGAATTCTTCTCTCTGGACGTTCCCAATTTAGTAAAAGGTTACAGGCCAATGAAATTGAGAAACAGCACAACGCTAAATATTGGTAAGTTACGAAATGAGTGTTACAGAAAGTTCAAAGATGAGGCAGTGAGACACCAGGAGGAGGAAGTAGGAAGTACTCTGAAGAGAACTGATATTAGGCTTAGCAAATGAAAAGCCTGTGGGTTGATGTTGGCCAGATGGGCTTAAGAAAAACAGCCCTGGGGCTTTTACAAATAGCAAGAAGATGGAGCATGTGCAATTTGGCAGACGTGTGTGTGTGTGTGTGTGTGTGTGTGTGTGTGTGTGTGTGTGTAAATGCACACAACCTGGTGTGTGTAGTGGAGCACAAGGTGTTTTGTACTCTTTGGAAAGAACCAATGCACTTATTTTTCAGTAGAATCTCAGACCCCATAGTCTAGACTGGCCTTAAACTCTGCCTTGTTGTCCTTGGTGCTGGGATTCCAGGTGTGTTAATTAATGCCTGCCTTATACCCTCATCCTGCCTACTGATCAGTAGAGATATTTCCCCTTAGTTGATGTGTAGCAACCATCTTATCTCTAGGAAAGGCACAATGAAATACGTTCAATTTGTAAGGGAAACCAACTTGGATTTTTAACAGTAACTTTTCTAAGCATGCCTGATAAAATGTATGTGGCTTCTTCTAAAAGAACACCTAGTTGGAATACTGGGACTTTTCCTCAACTCTTTTGTCTTCCCTGTCCACTAAGGAGATTTAGAAACAATAAAAAGGAAAAAGGGGCAGGGAAGAGGCCCTGCAGGTAAAGGTGCTTGATGAAGGTCCAACAGCCTGACTTAGTTCAGGAACCCACATGGTTGAAAGAGAGAACTTGTTCCACAAAGCTGTCCTGATCTCCATATGCCCCACACAATTAAATAGGTCTAATAAAAATGTCTAAATTTATTAAGGACATAAGATGTACCCCAAACCCTATGAAAAAGTCTATGAGACATGAAACTACTGCTAACTGTGCATTTGTGAGATGTGAAGGTAGTCCTAAGTATATTTGTATCTAGATTATCCTTTGTTTTGTAGTGCCTTGACAGTTATATAACTATGTAAATTAACACCATTTCCCTGGTAATGCTGTGTGGTAACAAATGTGTAATTTGGGAAGTGTTAGCTAGACATGAATTTGCTATTTGGCTCCTGAGTCTAGAAAACACATAAACTATACTGTAGCTATCCAGCAAGAAGCTTTCAGTGTTGTATCACGACAGTCAAGGGGATCATGTTTGTCTTGCCAAGAAGTTTTTGGGGAGATGACCAACTCAGATTATTTGCTGACTCATGACTAGCTGCTGAGTTATGTGACTGGTCTTATTATTTTCTAATGATGACTAAGCAGTATTCTAGAAATATAGTCAGTATGGAAATTGCTTAACAAAACATAAAATAAGGCATTGTCTTAGGTGAGAAGACCAGGCATATTTACTTATTGTCAAATGAAGACCCAGTCCCACAAGCAGGCCATCATTTGACCCAGCAGAGTGACTTTTTACTGTACTGTACTGTAAGAGGATGACATGGCTTTCTTATGTCATTGAAACTTGGCTCTTGCTAACCAAGTACAAAAGTAAGAAAGTTGAGCTGGGTTGTATCATAGTGGGTGTGTGTTTTTCTAGCACACACAAGGTAAATGTGGTTTGATTTTCAGTATTACAAAAAGAAAAAAAATAGATTTTATAGATTGAACTGTTGTTTGTCCTTGTAACTTTTAAGTAGACTATTGTTACAAGTTGCTATGAAAATAGTTAATGAAACTTCAATAGCATCAAATGCTTATTACTATATTAATAATTATTCCAGCTATTAAAAAGTTTTATGGTTTTTGTTCTTTCCTTTGTTCTAGAGAGAAGAGACTGAAAACCAAATAGACAACCATGTTTTTCATGTGAATTCATTTTAGCAGAATCAAAAACAAACTACTTCTGGAAGGGGCAGGTTTTTGTAACCCTTTCATTACTAGAACCCTGTATACCAGCCTCCTTATACATACTTTATCTTCCCCCATCTGGTGCAGTGAAAAAAAAACCCTCTGCTCTGTCCAGAGGTGGTGGGAACACTGTGATGGGTATTTGTGGAAATACCACAAAGGTATAATTCCTTAACTAAGGAATAGTCTTTCTGAAGTGTGGACGTTTTCCACCAGGTCCTGTGCAAATGAAAATAGATGCCTATTGTTCGCCTTGGTATTTTTAGAGGTAGGAAATGGTGCCTCCTGAGGCTAAATCCATTTGCCAGGATAGAGACCAAACTGGATTATTAATTATAGGGAGGGCAGGTACCTATTTTAAGACCAAAGTTGAGACACTAAGAATTTGAAATCTTAGGTTTCTAGCTTTCGTCCTGTTTATAATCTACTACCTGAATACTTAACATGGCTGTAATTAACAGGAGGCGAAGCTGTTCATTGCTACTGTTTTGTATCCATTCTGAACCCTATTTTCACATCTGTGGTGGGGCAGAGTTGGAATGGGATGTGTAGTCTACTTTTACAACTTTTATTTAGCATTCACTATACAGGGCACTTTTCTCAGGATATAGTAGCTCCATTTAATTCTCATTCAGAGATATTGCTGTTGCCTTTTTACATAGGAAACAGGACAATTTGTCAAAGTTTACAAGGGTATTGCGGGTGGGGGAGCTTGAAATACAAAAATAGCACCTGGCTTTAGAGTTTAAATAATCTAGACCCTACTGTGTAAGTTCTTGGGGGTGAAGTGAGGAGGCAGCGGCTGGGTATGTATTACTGATTTGAATGATCTTCACATAGTTGATCTTCAGTATGCTCAAGTGGTTATGGAAAGCTAAGGATTTTTGTTTTTTGAGACTGGAACTCTCACTTCAATCCTCTGTGCTCAGTCTTCTGAATGCTGGGATTACAGACCTGAGCCACTGTGCCCAACTCAGAATGCCAATGATTTTAGCCAGAAAATCCATGAGGAAAATGGGAATGGAATTACAGTAATTTGTCAGCTACTCCTATTGATCTTTAGACCTGACTGCCAGCCAAGTTTCTGTTTTTCTGAGAAAGACTGCTTTCTAAGTGAAGATCTTTTTTTCTGTTCTCAGTGTGTTCTTAAGCAGGGTAGACATGTCCTGATAAGGACTGAGATGGGGATGTTTGAGTGTGGCAAGCCACCAGTCCATACAATGGCCACATAGACTCTGCTGGTAGCTAGAAAGAGGTTAAGTATAAACAGAGGAGTGTGGCTATGTTTCAGAGAAACTATCACCACTAAAATATTTGATGTTTTCTTCTTAACCTTTTTTTTTTAATAATTTATTTAACTTCATTTTATGTGCATTGGTGTGAAGGTAGCAGATCCCCTGGAACTGGAATTACAGATGTAAGCTGCCATGTGGGTACTGGGAATTGAACCCAGGTCCTCTGGGAGAACAGCCAGTGCTCTTAACCACTGAGCCATCTCTCTAGCCCTCTTCTTAACCTTTTAAAAGAATAATTTTGTTTTTAGCATGTGGGCAGTTAAATTAGAGATGATCTAGATTTGGCCAACTGACCCTGGTTTGCTGACCCCTCTGTTTTCGGGTTTTATTTTATTCTCTGTGCATAGGAGCTTTGCCTACATGTACTCTGTGCACTAGTTATATGTCTGGTGCAGGTGGAGGCCAGAAGAGGGCATCAGATACCCTGGAACTGGAGTTACAGATGTTGTGAGTCCATATATGGGTGATGGGAATCAAACCCAGGTCCCCTGGAAGAGTGGCCAATGCTCTTAACTGCTGAGTCAGAACAGACCAACAATAAGATACCACATTTCAAAAGAGCCAAACAGCCTTTTTTGATAATTGTTTTATGACCTGAAAACTAGGGATTTATACAGACCCATCATGTCCAATTTTTAAAATCATTCCTTTTTAGGGACATTGTCTCATAGGTCCTTGAAAGAAAGGTAGTTTTCTTTTTTAAACTTATAGATAAATTGTGTAATTAAAAAATTTAAGGTGGAGATCCTGAGATACAGTTACTTAACTAGAATCTCCTGTTGCGAATGGAAGTTAGAAATTCTAGGGTAAGGGTGCTCTTTGGTGGGAGAAGAAATTGAAGATAATCAGTAAAATACCTGAGTTGTCTATGAACTTCACTGTGTTTTCATCCTGGTCCCTCACTACTTCAGATAATAGCAGATGAACTGTTAAGCAACCAGGTTTGATACTTAGACTTGTTTAGGATTTCATAGCTCGGAACTATGCAAAAGTACTGCCAGAAGGGCTGTGCTTAAGTGTGACTTACAGACTAATATTGCACTGGTTTCACTTGAAATGTTGAAGTGAAAGGAGCATCATAAATATAACTTAATCCATACTCTTAGTTGGGTCCTGATTCCAGCCATACGTGGAACTTGAGCACAGAAAAGTATCAAATAATATGTTTTTTGCAATGGGACACAGTAAGAGACTAGCTGCAGACTAGTTTGTGAGAATTTTAGAAGCAAAACCAGTTTGTGGGGATGATGATACAACTTCATAGAGTTACAAGGAGTCATGGGGTACTTACCAGTAGACAAGGTTATCACATGATGAAGTATTTCTTAATAAGCTCTTTGGGATTTTTGTTTTCTTTTGATATTCTGAAGAGATGCTAAAGATGGAAGCTAGGCCTCTCACATGCCAGCAAGCACTCTACCACTGAGCCCAATAAAATTTTAGGATCAACCCTCCACCCCCATTATTCAAACCTGAGCCTCATATGCTAGGCAGAATGCTCTTTCACAGCGCCACATCTCGGGGACATTTTCCACATTCTGCCCCTTCCCTTTCATTTTTTAAGTTTTATTTTGAGACAGAACTTCACTGGACTTCTCAGGCTGATATTAAACTCCAAATACTTCTGCCTCGGCCTCTAAGGTGTTTAGTTTTTCTGTAAGAATCATCTCTAGGTAACCGTGATGGCATAGGTCTATATTCCCATCACTTGGGAGGCTGAAGCAGGAGAAATACTGTAAATTCAAGACCACCTCAACTACATACCATGACCTGTCTCAAGTTTTTCCAACAAAAGGTTTCAACATTTATAGAGAAGCAGTTTTGTAGAGCTTTTAGAAGGTAGTAGCTAAATTGTATTCCCTGTTTGTACTTTGTGGCACTAATCCAACGTAAGTGTAACATTATCTGTGAATGTGTGCTGGGTTTAAAACACACTGTGGCCTTTAACAGTCTTAGATGGAATGAGTGTATGAATACATGTGGTGAAAGGCTTTCCAAACTGACGAAAGTGGTGGTGGTATGTTTATAGTTGTTTTCTAATTTTTGGCTACTTGTTGGAAATTGCATGGGCTATATTTTTGCACCTATAAAAGTAGGGTAATATATAACTACTATAAGAATTATTACAGTTAGATGATATGTACCAAGTGCAGTGTCCCATACACTGAACATGCTTAGGTCTGAGACAGTTCACACTGTTCAGGTCCAGACAAATGTGATGACTCTCAGCCTTTTAATGTCCCCTCCTCAAGAATAAAGTGGCTTTCTTCAGACTACGGAAGTGACTACTGGGCGATTTATAAACAATAGGAGTTTATTTCTCATGGTTCGAAGAAAAAAGCCCTAGCAGAGTGGTGTCGGTAAAGACTTGTCTCCTGGTTCATTGATGCCCCTTTAGATGTGTCTTGATGGTAGGAAGGCAAGATAGCTCCATGGAGCCTCTTTAAGGGCCCCAATCCTCTAATGAGGGTCTGTCTTTATGACCCAGTTACTCCCCGGATGCCATCACATTGGTGACTGGGTTTCAGTGTACAAGTTCCTTGGGGACACAGACTTTCAGGATACAGCAGTGGGATTGAAATTGATGTCAGCCTGGTGCCAGCTCTAGTACTTCAGTACTGCTTTACATTTCCAACCTTGTAAAGCTAAGGCTTGCTGGGATCTAATGACCATGCAGAGATTTTACTTCTGTTGACAACATAACTTTTTTTTGGCAAACAAAAACTACATTTTATAGTTAAAAATACTTATGTTTATATGTAAATGGCAATCACAATCAGGAATCATGAACATAAAGTTCTTTCTAGATATTTTTAGTCTTGGTAATGAATCATATAATTGAAACCAGTAAAAATACTTGGGTAGAGTAAAAAATAGAATGAATTTGAAGCAGGAAAGAAGGCATATTAAGTCTATTTACCCTCAGTACCAAATGGTCGGTCACAGCTATTCCTGTAATACTGAGCCAAAGATAGAATGATGTAGGTAGAAGGCGTACAGTTTGTTTGGAACCATAGCGTCTTCCATAGTAGCATCTAAGGTCAATCTAGAAATAGTTATTTCATTACCGTTAAATCAAGTCTGATATTTGAAAGTTGGAAAGAAAATTACCTTTAAAACAAATCCCAGAAATTCTGGCTGAAGCGCAATGAAAAAATAAATTGGGATGGGAGAGAACAGTGAACTGCTAAACATAGTTGCTATGAGAAAATATGTTGTGTATTCCGTTACCTGATCCCCTCCCCTCAAAAGTACAGGCCCTTCTACCCAAATTTTGTTTTTAAGGGTTCTGTTTTATTTACTGAGTGTGCGTATCTCGTGTGTACAGGTTCCCTTGCAGGCCATAAGAGGATATCAGATCTAGAGCTGGAGTTGCAGGCAGTTAAACAGAACTCTGGTCCTCTGCAAGAGCAGTAAGTAAGTGCTCTTAACCACTGACCTCTCTCTCCGCCACCACCACCCGGGCCCAAATCTTATTTCTTTAAGATTTATGTGTGCTTTGGTCAGCCATGGTTATGAGTAACCATGGAGACCAGAAGAGGGTGTCAGAGCCCTTGGAGCTGGATCTACAGTCAGTTCTGAGCTTCCTGATATGGGTGCTGGGAGCTGAACCTGAGTCCTCAAGAGCACCAACTGCTCTTAGCTGCTGAGCATCTCTCCAGCCACCTAGAATTTTGTGGTTTTTGTTTTGAAGGCATGGCTTTTGTGTGTAGCCCTAGCTGTCCTGGAACTCACTCTGTAGATAAGCCTGGCCTCAAACTCATGAAGATCTGCCTGCCTTTGCCTCACAAGTGTTGGGACTAAAGGTGTGCACTACCACCACCCGGCTTAGCATTTATTTTTAATTAATCTATTTGTGATGTAAGGAGTGACTCTAGGGCCTTACACACACTACGTGAGCACTCTACCATTGAACTACATCCCCAGTCCTCTTTCCCTAAATTTTAGTTAATGTTTGAGTCAGGGTCTCTTTCTGTAGTCCAGAAACTTGCTAAATAGACCAAACTGGCCTGAAAATTGTGGTGTTTCCCTGGGCGCTCTGCCTCTTGACTGCTGAGATTACTGGGGTCCATCACCAATTCTGGCTCTTCCCCAAATTTTAAGTTTCAGTTCACCTTTTTAAAGTTAATACGAGCTTGTATAGTTTAAATGAAATTTGTGTTTTGTTCACTGCTGTATCTCTGGGCTGATGAATTCAACTTGACAGGCCTTAAGTTAGTGTTTCTCTCTCTCTCTCTCTCTCTCTCTCTCTCTCTCTCTCTCTCTCTCTCTCTCTCTCTCTCTCTGTGTGTGTGTGTGTGTGTGTGTGCGCGCGCGCGTGTGTGTGCGCGCGCGCGCGTTGAATCAAATGTGCTTAAGGACTGTAAAAGCAGCAAGCATTGCCAGGAATGAAATCAGAATTAACTACCATGGCTTAAGTCTGGTGTTGGGATTTGCATAGTGTGGCTTTTTTTTTTTTTTTTAAAGATTTATCTATTTATTGTGTATACAGTGTTCTGCCTGCATGTATGCCTACAGGCCAGAAGAGGGCACCAGATCTCATTACAGATGGTTGTGAGCCACCATGTGGTTGCTGGGAATTGAACTCAGGACCTCTGGAAGAACAGTCAGTGCTCTTAACCTCTGAGCCATCTCTCCAGCCCTAGTGTGGCTTTTGTTCCTTTAAAAATGGAAACAAAAACAGAAAACCAGTAGTCTTATTGTAGCCTTGGCTGCCCTGGAACTCCCTCTTTCTCAGGCATACCTCAAATGTGAACTGATAAATCCTGCCTCTGATGATTTTTCTTTAATATACTTGTTTTCTTTTTGTTTGTTTTTGTTTGTTTGTTTGTTTTGAGACAGGGTTTTTCTCTGTAATAGCTCTAAGTGTCCTGGATCTTGCTCTGTAGCCTAGGCTGACCTTGAACTCACAGAGATCTGCCTCCAGAGTGCTGGGATTAAAGGCGAGCGCCACCACCACCCGGCCTTAGTTTCTCTTTTTTAATTAGTATTTTTGGTTGTCGAATGGATTTCATTATGGCATTTCAAACGTGTGTCATACTTTTTCATCCATTCACCCATTTCCTTCTCCTGTGTCCACTCTTCCCTTCAGAACGACCCTTCTGATGACACCAGGATTGTCTAAGGGCTGGAAAAGTTCATAAATGTAAGAAGAAAGAGCTTCCTTATTAGTTTGTAATGAAAGTACTGCAGATATGTCTGGATTCTCCCCGTCCCCGCCCCCCCCCCCCCCACCCCCCCCACACACAGAACAACTGTATCAGCTGCTCAACACTTAACGTGTTAGTAAACATTTGAAACACAGGAAACTGATAACACCCAGAAACACTTTAAAATGAAACCTGGCGTATATTCTAGAGATTTAAAAATACTTCAGGAGAAATGAATTGCAGTGAATTTAAGGGATTGAATCTGTTGCCTTCTGTAACTCTTAAAATACTAAAGTGTGTGTTATCCTGGTTTCAGAAACTTGTTTTCAAAGCTTTGTTGGTTGAGGATTTTAGTGCTTGTATAATTTATTGGATCAGTAATCAGTAAAATTCCTTAATGCTAAGTTACATCATAGCTGGAAAGTCCTTGTTCTCCTTTTCTGTCCTGGTAGCTCTAGCCTGAAGCTGGCTAGGCCAGCACCATCCCCCCTTCCTTGGGGGAGGCAGTAGAGGGTAATGAAGAACTTTGTCTTAGAGTTTGTGGAACTGCATTCCAGCTACTATTCTGTAACAGCTGCAACCTTTGACCTGTCAACTTGTTTGGGTGAAGTGGGGGGTGGGAGTGAAACCCTCCCAGAATTGTGGATTTTAAAGTAAGGGCTCCATGGACTTTAGACTCAGACTGACTGTGAAGTTAGTGCTGTTTGCCCTGGACAGTGACCACAGACCGTCAGCTCACTTCTCCCTCTCAAGCCACAGGTCCCTCTTGTTGTTATTTTCGTTGTCTTTGTGTGTGTGTAGTGTGTGGTGCTGCGGTAGAACTCAGGGCTTCCAGTATGTCAGGCAGGTGTCCGCCAATGACCCTATATTCCCAGCCCTTTCTTCTTTGAAATTGTACTGTTATCTGTTCTTATCTGATTACCCCACCTGTACCCCATACCTCCGAGTCTTTCCTTAAATTACATACCACTTGCTCAGAATGTAGACTTACCGCTGGTGCTGTGCTAGCTTTGTTCACACTGTGTGTATGGATATTTTGCCTGCATGTAGGTCTGTGCCTTTGGAGGGCATTGAATCACCTGGAGTTACAGTCGTGATCCTTCATATGGGTGTTAGGAATCAACCCCAAGTCCTCTGCAAGAGCAGCCAGTGTTTTAAGAATATGGAGCCATCTCTTCAGCCCATCTGTGCCAGTGATAGATAGATACATATTTTGTAATGAAATTCCATTTTCCTTTTGTTTGTTCCAACAACCAACAGAGAAGTGATACCACTCCTTAGTCTCAACTAAGCATGTTTATGGGGTGTCTTGGTTATTTGTTTACTGTGTGAACTTTGAATCCCTTTGTTCAGGGTCAGATATTTCACAGAACAGGTACTAGGAAAAAAAAAAAAACCTGAGATCATAGTATATAAATAATCTATAATACCTCCCCTAATAGATGCTACCAATTTTTTTTAATAATGTGTGTCTTATCTTTTTCCATTTGTTCTAGGTTTTTAGAAGTTTAGCTCTCAAAATGGGCAGAATCTTCCTTGACCATATCGGTGGTACCCGTCTGTTTTCTTGTGCAAACTGTGATACGATCCTGACCAACCGCTCAGAACTCATCTCTACGAGGTTCACAGGCGCCACCGGTAGAGCGTTTCTTTTTAACAAGGTTGGTGGAAAAAAGCTTCATTCTTACGTATCTTCAGTGGATATATTTGACAGCAACACTAGACTATTCCCTCAAGAGTTTACAGACACCAGGAAATACCAGAATGGCGGCTGAAACCTGCAGAAGAGGCTGCCTGTTAGCTTGTCTCTAGGATTTCAGGGATACATTACTGGGACATGATTTTATTTTATTTACCTATTTATTTTTATAAAGCCTAAATAAAGAGTTAGAAGAGGCAGAATGTGGTGGCTTCTGTCTATAATCCCGGTACTTGGAAAGCCGAAGCAGGAAGATTTCCACAAATTGGAGAAATTATAGGCCAGTTGGATCAGCTTCAGCTACACAGTGAGACTGTCTCAAAACAGCAATAAAAAAGGATGGGTCTCTGTCTCTTTGAGGAATATGCAGTATAACAATGTGTTACTTTAGAGAATTTGGAAAAAGAGGCTGACATACCCATCTTCTCTCCCTTCTGTGTCCCTGACTGGCCCATTAGGGAGGTAGCCATTGCAGCTTATCTATTGGAAGCGAATCTAGCTAACTTCTCTTGCTGTATAATTAATGGTTGCCAGTCAGCTTTCTGATTATCATTTGGCTTCTTTGGATCTACCAAAAGGAAAAGCATTTACAGATTTGCAAATGTGTGTCTAGTCTGCTTGACTTTGAAATTTTGGACCTGTTTTGAGATGAGTTGATGTGATTGTGCACTCTGGAGCCTAGCAAAGTTGAATTTCCAAATCTTTAAGACTAAGAAACAGATCTAGTCTTGTCTCAAGTGAATGCTTTTAGAAGATCAGATTAACTTTTCATTAGAGATTGTTGCTCTGTTCCATGAGTAAAGAAGCTTCTCTCAGAATCAATAGTGTGTTTACAGGATGAGGTGACATTGTGACAGGCCAGCTGCCTGTTAACTGTAAACAGTCTTCAATCTTGCTCATTCATTTACTTAAATAGTCTGAGTTTTTATGTTAGTGTCAAGGCTAAGTAGTTGGAATTAAGACTGTATAACCTTTAAAGCCAAAATTATTTGCTATTGATCTGTTAGAGGAAAGTAAAGCTTAGAGGATTGTTGGGTATTTAGAATGGTTGGAAATTCTCCATATTATTTTAGAATCCAATTCTTGTGTTCATTATCTTTGCACTTCCTTAAACTAATGTGTTGCATTGTATAGCTTGTGGTAGCTTAGCCTAGCCCAACATGTTTGTATATATAGAGTATGTTTTCAGAAACAAAAATGACACTTTATGGAACACTGATGGTATTGTGACAGGTTCTTTGATTATCTTACATTCATCACTACAGAGTGAATTAACAATTGAACCCAAACATATATTTTGTAGCTTCAATTCCAGACCTTTTTCTTCACAACAACCAGAAATATAACTACCATATATAAATGGCGAGACTTGGACTTGTCTAGTACTATATAAAGACTACATTAGATTGGGGGCTGAAAAGATGGCTCAGCAGTTAACGAGTTGCTCTTGCAGGAGACCCAAGTTTGGTTCCTAGCAGTCACATGCAGGCTCACACCCATCTGTAATTCTAGTTCTAGGGTATGCAATGCCTTCTGACCTCCACAGGCACCACACACACATGTGCATACATGTGGGCAAAGCACTCATCCATAAAAAAATAACTCTTAAAAAATTCCCAAATTAGATACCCAGTACAGTGCAATTACCAGATGTTTACCTGTCTCAGCAACGTATTTTTTGTTTTTTACTTATTAATTTTTTTTTTTTAGTGTGTGTATCAGGGGTAGGGTTTGAGACAAGAATCTCCTATAGCTCAGGCTGGCCTGAAACTGACCTGAAACTGGGTGAGGCTGGCCTTGAACCCCTTCTTTCCTACTTCTGCCTCCCAAACACTATGATTACAGGCCTAGTAGCACAGACCTAGCTATCCCAGCATCTCTTCAAACCAGCTCTAGGTGGCTATCATGAGTGTAACTACACTTGCTCGGTGGTTGGTTGTTTTGAGGCAGGGTCTCACTGTGTGGTGAGGCTGGTCTCACCTCAAACTCATGATCCTCCTGCCTCGGCCTCTCCACACTGGGATCATGGGCATGCACAGCTCTGTAATACTTAATTGCACATACATTTCCTATTGTCACAATTGTCACTAACTTACATGACTTTACAAGCGTTTTTGTGTGTGTACATGTATTGTTTTTTAGGTAGTTAACTTGCAGTACAGTGAAGTTCAAGATCGGGTCATGCTCACTGGCCGCCACATGGTTCGAGATGTGAGCTGCAAAAACTGCAATAGCAAACTGGGCTGGATCTATGAGTTTGCTACTGAAGACAGCCAGCGTTATAAGGAAGGCCGTGTGATCCTGGAACGTGCACTAGTTCGAGAGAGTGAAGGCTTTGAGGAGCATGTACCATCTGATAACTCTTGAAGAAGAAAGATAAATCCATCTTTTCCCAGGTCTCCTTCACTGAAAACAAAAATCTACTTACATACACTGTCACCTTAGCATCAGAGTCGGATTCATGAACTGCGGAACAAGAGGGTGTGAGAATCTTGAGATAGAATCTTTCTTTCTCTCTCTTTTTTTTTTTTTTTTTTAATTTTGTATTTCCCATCCAACAGCAGTTTGTAGAGAGAATATTTTGCAGATGCCGTTAATTTTTTCCCTGTGTTTACATCTTGAGGCAGAAGAGTCTGCAGCTACATGGTGGGCTATATGAGGGGAAAAAATTGGGGCTCCTAGAGTGAAAAGGAGTGTTTTGTGTACATTTTGAGTAGAGAATATGTCAAGAGCATGGTTTTTAAACTTATTTGGGCTTCATTTTAAACTTTCTTTTAAACCCAGTTATTTCACTTAATTTGCTAGCTTCAAGAAGAGATCCGAATCTGTGCCTGGCGCTGGAGGCTCAGTGTTAGCATGGCTTGTGCTGGCCAGTGTGCCATATTCTTGTTGGAGAGGAACTGTAGCACCAGAACCCATTCTTCCTTGTCAGTCTTGACCCACAGATGTCACCTTCCCTAGCTCCTTGTCACCATGTACTTGGTGTTGATTGGAAGCTTTCTGAAATGGGGCAGAACTGCTTGGCTGTCTTTCCCATGTAACTTAAGCATAGTAATATAAATAAAGTGATAGTTGGATGTTTTGGTCCTGTGTTACTTCTAAAAATACTGTGTAAAAGAGCAGAGGTTTGATAAGTGAATTTCTTAGTAGGTAAAGTGTTTTCTTCTCAATCTTAAGCTGCATTGACTATGTATAAGGTATTTGTGTAAATGGAAGCATACTGTTTAAACCCACAGTATTGCATTTAGAAAACAGTTGAGCAGAATGTCAGTGTGCATCCTTGCATAAACCATTAATCTGCATCTGTTCTAAAAGAAGGGAAGAAAATGAAGCAGCTTATCTAAAAATACTGCTTCACAGTGTTTCAGCCTTCCCCCTTCGAGTTGATTTTGACAAGTCTGTAGTACCTAATAGTTTCATCAAAAGATGGGATCTCTCCTTAGCATCGGTTTTTCACATCTTCCCTTAGAAGTTCAGCTATTGCATTTGAGCTGCACTTGATGCCCTCTGTTGGAAAGGGGTCAGATTTGACTCAGCCCCAAATGTATGACATTACAAAGTATTAGAATATGCTTCTTCATCTCAGCCACGTCTGGGCAAACTGGTACTTGCTTTTGGTGAAATAAAGGACAGTGAAATCGGCTAGTTATACAAATGAACAAATGGATGTTTGTATGCTCAGCTTCCAGGTCTAATGAAGGATTTTTGCCTGAGTTGAATAAGTGAAATCTTTCTGTCATTGATATTAAAAGTGATTTCTGAGTGCACTAAAGCTTCTCCTGGTTGGCTTTGCACTCTTGGTTAGTGGCATGGTTGTTGATTGAGTAGGGATAATATCATACTCCATTTTCAGTGAGTGAACACAACTCTGTCTTCAACTTGAACGAAACCTTCAAGACTTCAGAATAGTATTTATTTTCACGGATTTCCACACTGGCCTGTGATATGCGGACTCCTAGTCGCATGCCTCACCTGCAGCACCGAGTGCATTGCTGTCAAAATAAAGTGTATTTTGTTGTGTGTTGGTGCAGAACTGCTGCTTATTTTTCATTGATCTATTTGGTGACCATCTTTGTCGTTTTTAATCTCTAAATACATCATTTTTATTTGTTTGTTTTGAGATGCCATCTCACTATGTAGCCCTGACTGACCTGTAACTTACTTGCTACTTAATAGCAGGCTGGCCTTGAACTCACTACTGAGATATTAGATGTGCACCACCACACCCAGTTACCTCTGTGCTTTTGAACAGCTATTCCTTGCTTTGCTTGACAGTTATAAAGTGATAGTTAACTCTTTTTTTATGACTGAAAACACCAATTTTACCATCATTAACTTAGGAGATCATTTTGCCATAGATGCAACTGACTTAGTAAATATGAAAATTTAGTTAATAATTATAAGTAAATGTCACACTGTTAGGATACTCAGTTGTCTGGCAGGTTAAGCAACAAGCCATTTGTTACCTTCATTTAAATAACTTGCATTTTTCTGGACTAAGGTGTGGCTCCATGGCAGAGCACTTGCTCAGTGTGCTGGAGACCTGAATGTGATCCCTATCACTGCAAAAACAAAAATTCCATTTTGAGGATGTTTTAAAAATTAGAGGAGGGTCTGGAGAAAGTACTGCTCTTCCAGAAGACCTGGGCTTAGTTTTGAGCACCCAAATCGGGCTGCCCAAACTGCCTGTAACTCGGCTGCAGTGGAGATCCAACACCTCTGGTTTCTAAAGTCTCTTGCGGTTACAAGCTCCTTCCCCACTACTCCCCCAACACATACACATAATGAAAAATCTTTTTAAAAAATCTGGTAATTTTTAATTGAAGGATCTAGTCTAATTGGATTATTTGCAAAAAATCAAATGGGAACATTAGTTACCAGAAATAAATGGGTATGGTAGTTCGTACCTGTAATACCAACACTTTGAAGGCCGAGCTACAAGTGAGAGGCCTTCCTAGGTTGAAGACAATTCCAAGCCAGTATGAGCTACTTCTCAAATAAGACTCTTGTCTTCACAAAACAAGGATGATTCTGTTCTGGGGCAGGGAAGTTAACTGATCAAATATATTTGGATGTCAATACATGAGGGGGGTATTAACCTTTTTCTCTTGGAAGACTTTGGGATTCTTAGTTTTAGGTGACATCCTTTAAATACATTTTAAACGTTTATTAAATTTTTAACTGTTCATATATGTTGTGAATAGCATGTGAAAGGTCAGACAAGCCACAGGCGTTCTCACCATACAAAACATCTGATCTAGGGAAAATGTGACTTGGGAATAGAGTGAGACCAAGCTGAAACTTTCCCTTAGTACTGATTTGGAAAATGCCTATTATAGGAATAGAGGAAAGAAGTAGAAGTCAGGATTGGGTATGGGGGCTCATGCCTGTAATTCCAGCACTTGGGAGGCCGAGGCAGCAGGATTGCTGTAAGTTTGAACCAACCTGGGCTATAAGGTGAGACCCTGTCTCAGAAAGAAAGTGTGCATCACACCTCGGGGGGTGGGGTGGGGTTGTATGGCTCTGACAAAAACCATGTGTGTGCATAAGTGCAGGCATGGGCCTGCCACACAGTTGTGTGGAGGTCAGAGGACCGTGCTTTATTTAAGCAGTATCCCTGTCAATGCTGCCTCACTGTGCACTCGCAGCTAGACTCGGTCTGCACCACCTGTCTCACGGTAGGAGTGCTGGAATTAGTGTGGTACCATTCCCAGCTTTTTACATGGGTTCCAAGAATTGAACTTGGGCCATCAGGTTTATACAACTAGCAGTTTTAACTGCTGAGCCCAGCCTTGGTATGGCGCGCGCGCGCGCGCGCACACACACACACACACACACGCACACTGGTTTTTCAAGACAGGATTTCTCTGTGTAGCTTCGGAGTCTGTCCTAGAACTTACTTTGTAGATCAGGCTGGCCTCAAACTCAGAGATTTGCCTGCCTCTGCCTCCCGAATGCTGGAATTAAAGGCGTGTGCCATCACCACCTGGCTAATGACTTCTGTATTTTAAAATACACTTCTCAAATTCAAAGTTATATAGTAAGGCAAGAAATAACGCACCAAGATTTTGTTGAGGGTTATGATCCTGTACATCACTTGACACAGTCAAACTTTAAATTCACCTGCTACATGACCACCTAGGAAGCCTGTTAAATATGTAAGATAAGTCCTTTCTTTCTCTAGTCCTGAATGGCATTTTTTTTTTCAGCCAGACTTTCTCAAAGTAGCATGTCTGCTGATGTTAGTATATGAAGATCATGGCTTATTAAGGTATTGTTTGGATATAAAATGTCCATCACAGGCTCTTGTATGTGAGCTCTTTGCCCCCACCTGATGGTACTGTTTGGGGAGGTTGTGAAACCTCGGGGACATGGGGCATCATTGGCTGATGCAGGCCACTGGGTACAGGCCTTACAGGGTATACTCAAGCTCTGCTTCTCTCCATTTTCTGCTTCTTAATTGGCTGAGGTGTGGACACTGTGCACTGCAAGCTTCTACCACCACAGACCAGCCCTTTCCAGTCACCAGGCCTTCCCCACTGTAAGGGGCTGCACCCTGTGAGGCTGAGACCAAGTAAACAGCTCGAGTTGCTACTGTGGGTTACTTTGCCACTGTGGCAGGAAGAGAAAATCATACAAAGTATTAAAAATCAAAACAATCTGTTTCCTATGTTACCATGTGGACAAAGCAAGTTAGCTGCCAGAGGGTCACAGTATCTGACCTTTTTCCTGCTTAAATGGTGAGCCAGCCAGGCCAGTTGGTGGTTTCACACCCATTTAATCCCAGCACTCGGAGGCAGAGCCAGACGGATCTCTGTGAGTTCGAGGTCAGCCTGGTCTACAGAATGAGTTACAGGACAGTCACCAAAAACTACACAGAAACCCTGTCTTGAAAAACAAAACATCAACAACAACAAAAATGCTGAGCCAGACATGATGGCACATACCTTTAAATCCTAGCACTAGTGACTCTTAAAATGAATAAGTAGACAGAGGCATCTAGCTTAAAGATCACTGGGTACAATCTAAATACTAGTCTTTCCTGTTGACTAACTTATTTGACTTTATGACTCTGGGAAGTCAACTTCTAAGCCTTTTCAAGGGCTGACTGAAAAGCCCTTTCTCAAGTGATAGGCCATGTAGGCCATCCAAATGTATTGGTAGTATGCAAATTGTGGCAGAACTACTTTTCTCTCATTTTAGTAATCTTCAACAGCTCCTCGGGTTGTAATCCAATTTTGTGCTGAGCTGAAGAGGGACCAGCTGCTTTGTGAGCTCTTCAGTCCTTCCCAGGGTTGACATGGACCAATGTGTGTTAGATCTTTCAGAAATGAAGGCATTCAGTCTGCACTTGCATCACACTGTTATCTTGACCTGTGCTTAGAAGGACTTTGGATCATCTGCTGGGACAGACACTTGGCATTGCTTTGCTTTCAATAATCCTCAATGCCCCTAAATTTCTACCACTGTGGAGCAGAAAGGAAGAAAAGATGAAAGGTCACTGGACACAACTTCAGTGGTGAGGTACATACAAAGCCAGCCTTGTTCCCCAGACAAGGTAACTGAAAAGAATTAGTACAAGTTTCTATTATTAGCTATTGACTATAGTTGGGTTGTTTGTTTGTTTGTTGGCGGGGAAGGGATGTTGAGACAGTCTCTGCTTCCAAGTGCTGGGATTAAAGGTGGGTCCCACCATATCTACCTGAACATATACCAGAGCTGCTGTTTTTATCAAACATAATTTATCATATCACAGGTATGTGTGCCCCTCAGCCCAGAGGTTAGCCTCAGCTATTCCAGAATTTCAGTCACACCTTGTGTTTTCTATTTCCAGATAAGCCACATCCCTGCCCCGTTGCAAGCCAATTTCAAAGTGCTCAGAGGCATTTCTGAACCCCCACCCCCACCCCCACGACCAGTATGCCAGAAAGAAGGAGAGGGCTCCCAATTCCTTTCCTGAGGCTTAGGTCCTGTGTTCAGGTAGGCTTTCAGGACAAAAGAAAGGTGGACTCAAAGGTTGAGCTGGGCAATGTTTCTAAAGACCTGAATAGAAAGATCTAAAACCAGGTGGTCCTGT